CAAGATTTGTTTTGGAGTTTTTTTCATGCAAACAGTTGGAGTTAAAATAATGGTACATCCTTCACGAGCTCATTAGATTTTTGTCACATTTAGAATTTCGATACTTTCGAAAAAATGAATTGGTAAAGAAGTTCAGAAAGACGATACCGACATTGAACCTGAATCATCGAACCACTGAACAGTGTACCTGATGGCCCCAGCAATTGGAGCTAACTGAGATCACCCATTTGTACTTTTTTGGAGACGTAGCACAGTTAAATTTAACGCTACTGAATCTGTAGATTTCTGTTACTGGAATTAGGCTGCGATAATGACATTGGGTTACCAAGTGGGCAGATATGTGGTCAATCAGAAGTTCCAGTTTGCCTTCGCTAGATTTGTTTGCGTTCGTTTCTACACTAATATGCCAATGATGGAGAAAGGATGCTTGTTATCCTACAACCTTTAGACGCTGAGATGTCTATTAAAAGTTGAATTTCTGTCATCTAGCTGCATTATGAGAGAACAGTTTTTGATTTAAGACACCTTTTTATGTAATGTAGAAAATAGTTACTTTACTTAAATAATATGAGATACCTCCAATAAGATGAAACTACTAACCCATTTCCAAAAACTACTTGGTGTAGTAGTAGTAACCTTGTGTACCAATTTGATAAAAATCAGATATAAAGAATGTCATCGATCAAAAAATCGGAACTGATGTTGAGTCAACGTGCAACTATACATCGACAACGATGACTAAGTCGCACCAGACATCAATAACTTGTACTCCAAATCGCTCTAAAATCAAATACATTCTTTTTCGGACCGCACACATCGTTTAAGCGGAAGAGGATTGAAAATTTGAAAGCTAAACGACGCGACCGCAATGGTTTTGATGATTGCACCAACTTATCTTAGGCTATTCGTCTGTTTCGGTGCCAGAACGTCATGGCATTGCACGCCAGATTCTATCACTACGCTTTTTTAAGTGAAATAGCCGCTGTAATGTTACAATTATACAATACAATTTGCACCCAAAAGATCTAAACGAAACAAGAGGGTAAATAGCACATAATTCTTCATATTCTAAAGCCAACTGAGTTAAATTATGAGGTATATTTGAAGTAAGTATGTATTTTTTCATACATCATGCCACGCCCTTTTTTGGTTAATTAACAAAAAAAAATGATAAATACTATCTAACGGTTGGTCCAGTTGTCTAGTGGTCTGCAAACTAAGGCCCTAGCTCAATAAAACGGAGAGTAGGGAGGGGGGTTAAGAGCGCCAGTGACATAGGAGGGATTAAGCCACAACTCCCCGAGATGTTAGTCGGAACTAGTATCGCTTGACCACCACACAAAAGAAGAATCAAAACAGAGATGACGAAATTTAAGTAACAGTGCACACAGAGAGAGCCAAATAAACAAGATATTAAATGAATCACAATATATTGATTAATAAAAAAACGCACATGTGCTCCACCACTGGAGTGCAAGTAATAAAAAAAGAAAGATGTTATAAATCTTAAATACAACCTGACAAAATTATTTTTGGAGATAACTCCGCGAAACGTCTACCATGGTATACCCCCGAAGTATTTACAGATATTCTGCGCCTAAATATTAAACTTATCTGCAGGTCTTCTTTATCAGGCGCGGCCGAGGTGTCTTCAACTGTGGTCAAAAAGTGGCCAGTAGTGGGCACGTCACTGGGCAGGGGTTGCTTGCCTCGTTGTCAAAAATTATGGTAGTAAAAAAAAACCCTAGAGAGAATAAGGCTGTTTAAAAATCTACTCTACTCTCTGTGTGAGATAAAACGACTCATTGAACACAATCGCACTTGAAGCAAAACCATTGTACATTTTTTTTGTACGAGAAAAGTAAAGCAAAGGCAAAAACATATAGAAATGTTCGAAACTAATATACCCTTGTTCTAAAAAGTTATGGCAACCTCAAAAATCAAAATCGTGATCAATGTAATAGAAGGTGCCATGTAGGCACTGCCCCCATATCTGAATACGTAGAATGTCCAATAAATCAAGAAGTCTCTAAGAATTCCAATAGGCAATAATAAGTATAAAGATCTATGAAATTGTTAATTAGAATGATATTTTACCTGTTTACATGAGGTTTTTTTTTCGGGGGGATGGCTTCCACCAATTTGCAAAACTGCAACAAGATGCAACCAACTGGAGAAGAAAGGATGATGGTTCTCTTCTTTTTGTATTGACTAAAAAAAGCAGATATTTCACGAACGTCATCAAGACACGCATTAAGGCACTTGGCCAGAAGGTATAACTTACCGCTGAATGTCAAAATCCCATAAAAAAAATGGAAGACCCAAAACAAAATGACTAAACTAAAGTTACACAAAAAAGGGTGCTAGTCCATGAATTGGCGCTTGGGGCCTAATATCCCAGAGTCCGGAAAATGACGAAACGACCCCTGCACCACGACCTCAACGGAAACAGAAAAGCGAATCCCGCAGAACACATGTAACGTTCTAGAAGAAGGCTTCTTGAGTGACCTTGAAGAAGATATGTTTTATAGGAAACCAACTAACGGAGAAAAACTACAGAGTTTTTTTGCACTGAATTGCTGAGAAAGAAAGGTATAATACGGGTGAACTTATACAATCAATACAATCAATAAACTATTAAATTTGCCAAAAGAAAATCATTGAAAAGGGTCTGGCCTAGGAATGGGCACTCTATTATCAATGAAGAGAAATTCAAATTACGGATAAGTGATAAATAGTAAAAAAAGGTTACGCGATTTTGGCAGGTGACAATCAGGCGACACTTACGACCGCTATCAGTTATAAAAGACGTGAAACTAAATTTTCAAGTAATATATTAATACATTTTGCATAACAATCCATAGCTTGAATTTTTGTTTTTGTCTAGCAGTGCTTGAGAATTATAATTAAGGCATCTTTTTCGTTAAATCCCCATAACGAATAAAGATATAGGGTGATATGCATAAAAGCGAGTGGCTACTTTTGACTCGCATTTTTAAAGTAGCCACTCCATTTGATATGCATAAAATTGTAAGTAGAAACTCACACTCATAAGTTTCTACTCTTTCCGTGAGGCTGTACTCGCTCCTTGAGTGCCGACTTTAATTTTTATATGCATAAAAGCGAGCGTCCACTCCGACCGCTGAGTACATACTTAAAGAAATGCGAGATACCTTAGTAGTAGACTCAGCTTTATAAGAAATGGATGTCTTCACGAAATGGCCGAATTTATGCCTATTTATCAGCCTACGAAGGTGTTTAAAGATCGTAGGAAATCAATGAAAGTAGACTGTCGGGCCTTATATCGGTTTAGTAAAGTTAAAATAAGTAAGTTTAATAAGTAACCAGTTTTATGTTTTGAATCTCCTTCATTATATTTAACTCCTAATTCTGCTTCTACCTTTTCTTTTATTTCTTCAACCGCCTTACGGCGTTTATTTTTTATTTCCGGGATGTTTAATTATATTAACAAATACTGTTTGATGTTCAGACGAATGGTCTTCAGAATAGGTTGACATCATGTAAATGAACAAATAATAATCGACCTAAACACCACCGACACAAACGTTTACCGGTATGAATGAATGAATGAATCTTGAATTTTAGAGGCATCCCGGCCACCATAAGGAGCCAGTGCATAGGCCGCTTAAGCGGACCCTTATGCACCTCTACAATACTTAAATCACAAGCCTCGCCCTTTTAGCGAAGTTGAGAATCGCCTTGAGTCCAAGCTCCTTTACGTCCTGAGGGTCCAAAGTAATGGACCCCAGTATAGTCTGCCTATAGTAGCTCAGAGCTTCACAGCGACACAAAACGTGCGCCGAGGTCTCTTCCTCTACTCCGCAGCGTTCGCACAAGGGATCCTCAGCCACCCCCATCACGTGCAGGTGCCGCCTTAACGTGTTATGGCCAGACAACAGTCCCACCAGCAACCTTAGGTTGGCTCTACCCAGAGATAGGCAGAAGCGTCCATCCTTAGCACTGGGCCCTTCAATGAGCTCTCGTGCCTGGCGGAGATGTCTAGAGATACTTCTCCATTTCTGAGAGTGTTGTCTTGCAACCCACGTCTCCATTTGCCTCCTAGATTTATGCGCGGTTACTCCTAGAGCTGGCTCAGGACCAACGAGCTTGCTGGCTGATCCTGTTTTCGCCAGAGTGTCCGCCGTCTCATTGCCCCTTATCCCAGCGTGCCCCGGTACCCATATTAACGATACCGGATGCCTCGCTGTATACCGGTATACAGTAGTAACTGCTAGCAATAGAGAAATTGCCAATTCGGCGAGACAACAAAATACAAGTCGGAACTCGAAAACCAGAGTGCCTACTCAAGTATTTCATTAGAACTTGAGTAGCCTCTCCGTTTCTCGATAAATATTTTATGCATATCAAAACTGAGTAGGCTCTCCGTAACAGGAGTAGTTACTCGCTACAATATGGAGTCGCTACTTCTGAGAACCCACTCACCTTTATGCATATCACCCATTGATTTGCGGTGTCTGCTATTTTGTCGGATAATCTACCTGTATGCTCTTTCCGAGCAATATTAAAAAGTATACTGTTGTATCTGGGTTTTCGAAGAAATTCAAAGAAACGGTGACGCGTCCATAACACGCTGTCTAGTGATCACCCAAAACGAACTGATTTGACTAGATTGGGCTCTGACTAGGAGCGCAGGCGCAAGCTCTTTTAAATGAACCAAGGTCGTGCAGTCAAACAGATGTTATATTACTTTTTCTGAAATTACGTTCAACCATTCTCCCACCCCAAACGAAACAAATGATGGAAAATTGGCATAAAGAAAAAAGATCGATAATTAAGCAATCAACATAATAGAGCTATTAAATCAGTATGATAACTTGGCGTTTTTGCAAAATAATGACGTTTGAATTTTTAAATTTGAAAATAGGCGACATAGCAGTCATTCTAGAAGCTGAAAATAACTTCCAGCATTTTCCCTTGTCCACTTTACATCTCATTTTCAAATTTTTTCTCTATTACAGTACGTTACCTAGTGGAAGTTTCAAAGCCAACTTCATACCCAGCTCCCCCCTACATCTCCCGACATCGCAATTCGAATGGTGTCCCTCATACCGAGCCTTATCTTCGACGGTCATCGTCTCTTCCTTCTCCAGTCATCTCGCACAGGCAGTGCGTGCTAAAAAATAATCACTCTCCCAACGAATAAACATTAATTAGCTGGAGTCTCTGGACTCGGATCGAAGTCGAAGATGTCATCTCGGAGTATGGCGTCGCAGATATGATACGACCTGTCGTTTAAAAAGATGTTGTTTCGAATTCTCCGTCTGGTGGAGTTAAGGGGTATTTACACGGATGCAATCAATGCAATTTCCACTAAACGGACAAAACAAAAACAAAGAACAAACTCGTATCGAATAAAACAAAATTATAACTTATCGCAAACTTTTGGAAGACCGCCGTGTTTTGCGACAGTTGGAGTTTTGTTTTCTGTTTCTCGCTCGGAGGCGGTCACATCAAAAGGTTTCGACGTATTTCGAAACTCGAGTCTATTTAGTGGAAACTTTATTTTCTATTTTCTGGTTCTGGAAATTTTGTACCAAATTAGTAGATAAATAAATATCGTATTGTTTTATGAATAAGAAATTGTTTTGATACACCGGATAAACTTATAGGGCAACTGTCCTCAGTAGCTAGGAACCTCAGTGGTACTACTAATCGAACTTTAACAGAAATTGAATCTCTAAAATTTGTTTTTGCAACCTTTCTACCAATTAATGAAATTCGCTCTTCAAAATCAGGTGATGATATTCCCAGATAATTATGAAATGGTGTGCGATGTTTCCCAGGCAATGCAATATCTATAGATTTGGACGTTTGTTAATGTATGGCACTGTCGAATTTACCAACTTCAATATACTGGAAGTTATCATTACATACCTGTTGAGTAGTGTGGATTTGTCTGTATTTTGCAAGAAAATAGAATATAAAACACACTCCATCCAATTCCTCATCCTCCTTCACGTCATAATAATTTATTAATTTATGGGTTTATGAATTTCTTCAAAGCAATAAAAACATTATGTCCTCTCCATCCTAAAACACAGATAATATGTGTAAGACGTGTCAATCCCTACATCTCCCTGATGCATTATGCAATTACTATGCACATAGACAAAAAAGTATGAAAGATGTTTCACAAATAAGTCCAAAAATCATAAAAACTAGTAATGTTTATTGTTTGTCTTTTTGTCCTTTTTGACTGGGGGGCATATCTATCTGTCACTCGCAGAGTTGCCAAGTCTGACGACGATCACGTCCCGTGGCGGAGGGTGCGAAATGAATCTTTTACATTTGCTGGTTTTGAAGTTTTTTCGTGAAAGTTTACTAGGTATCATGATTATCAGCATCTTGGGTAGATTGTTCGATCCGGAATGGGAGAGATCTCCTATTTATGAAAATATTTTTGGTGTCATCTAACCGTTGCAATCAGTGCACAAACAATGTGACATATGATTTATAGCATAATCCGCTGCCCTATCAATACAAATTTAACATACAGGTCGCCTAGCCGTGGGGATGCAGTGCTCGGGATGAATACCACGGCGGCAGCTGATGATTTGGGGATGTCTGGGAACAACGTATGAAGTGAAATTCGCTAACTTCACAAATTTGAAGATTTTGTACAATTTGTTTGAAAATGATAAAAGATATGTCTTATTTGTCAGGATAATGTCGCAGCCAAATGGCAGTCACTCTTTCTGACACAGTCCGGATCGAAAGATGACGATACTCGTGAAATATATTGATACTTCTAAATATAGGATCGTATCGAACATCCCTACTGTCAAGATGTATAACCCAAGGTACCGACGGAGCTATTATGCGGCGTTATGGTAAGTAATTTTAAATTTTCATTTGCATTTTTTCAAGTGTTGTGCACTTAATTTGGGAAAAATGTCACGAATAGTCTTATAAAGCATAATAGAGTATATTTCAACAGTTGGCGGAACTTACTCTACTGGGACCAGGAGGGTGAAACGGGATATTAATGCACAATCTGGTAACCCTGTCACAACCACACAAGTCACCGTGTTTTCATTGAATAGCATGGAATTAAACCTTCAGGGTATATGTTTTGTGATTGGTACCAAGAGTTGACAGATCCCACACATATGTCACTCCTTGAAATGCAATAATCAGCTGTATTCAAATAATGTCTAATATAAATATAACCTAGAATGTGTACTCGTGAAAAAAGAAAAATATGGCAAGTTTGTAGTTTTTTTGCAGGTTTTAGGTTTGCTGGTAGCTTTAAGGCATATATTTGGGAATGTCTTAATCGCTGTGAATACAGTGTGGATGTTTGTTCAGCTCCTGAACAACGAAAAATATTCAACTTATAATATAACTGTATAAAACCCGAATGGTTTTGTGGGAATATCACTCTGAGGTGCCATAATGGTTCTGAATGTTTGGAAACGAGCAATATCTTTTGGTAGAGCCTGTCATCAAGAAGGTATGACTATCTGCAAGAGGTTTATAGGAAAAGACACCCAGTATCACATATCAATTGAGGAAAATAATATAAACATGAATAAAAAATCAACAATAGTAATTAAAACATGAAATTAATTCAAAAATCAAACACTTCTTAAAATTTTGACTGAATTATATGTAATTTCTGAATATTCAATAAGCTGGTGATGTTTCAATGACAAGTTGTCATCTCATACTTTGACAGTATTTTGTTTTCAACATTTCATGGCTATTGGTTGCTAAAATTGGTTGATCTGACGGTCTGTTACCCCGTAGGTGGAGAATAACGGACTGTTGTTGGTGAAATTGGCCCTAAATTTACTATAACTTGAACTTTATCTAACTTTTTATATGACGGTTTAGACCAAATTTTATTATATTATAGTGTCTAATACAAAGTGTTTCAAAACAGCCCTATCATATTAAGTTATATTTTTTAAAAGGCACTCTGTTAGTGACACCTTGAATACAAGAAAGGGATTGACTGAAAAAGCTGTAGAAACTTTTGTAGAGAACATTTTTTGTGAATGCTCATACAAAAAAGTTGGAGACAAGGGCTTAAAACGTCTGAGAGAAGTTATAGCCGCAGTGCTGAGCATTTATTGTGTGTCTTTTATGAAGTATATACACAGATAAGCAACCAGAATTTAAGTAAAGTTAGTCTTATTTTTACTTCCTATACTTAGCGGATACACAGGAATTGAAAGTACATATAAATGCTATTTAATGTCAGACGTTCTGTGTTTGAGAAAATAAGAAATGACTGGCAGGCAGGGGATCTTAGAATATAGCCCTATTTCGGTGACACTAACATTTCTACATTCACGCGAATATTCCATAATCAATGCCAATGACAGCTTTGTGCTCCAACTAACGCAAACATTGTCTTATTATGCAATGAAAAGGATCTGGACGATGACGACTTTTTTACATTTCCAAAAATGACACTTAAGAACCTATGAAAATGTCTCGATCTCACATAAGGTCAAAGTACTACGTTTCCCTGGCAAAGAACTGTCTATAATGTTGAGAACATCAAAATGTTTTGCCCTTAGACTTTTGTCATACTGTTTCACGGTGCCTGACCTTGAATAAAAAAATACCTGACTTCAAAGCCAAACAAATTTTATGCGAACCTTAGATAGTATTAAAAATCACGTATTGTGATTTGGTATACTATCCTTTTCTAGATTCAGTTTCTGCTGAACGTCTACAAAATGATCAAAATTTATGTTGTAGATTGATTTTTCATTTAAGAGAATGCGATCATAATAGTCCATGCTTCGAACAGATGAATTCATAGAATGTTGTAAAGTTGTTCAGATTTCATTTATCATCATCATATTATGCTCACAAACTCCTCCATACTTCAGTTCTTTCATTTATGAAAAATAGATTGGTATCTCGTGAGTATATCACTCATGGAATATTTGATTTAGCGTCTCTTTAACTATAATAATCATAATAATAATAATAATAATTTAACGATTTTAAAAATCAACTTAAATGTCATCTGTCATGCTCAAATATATATATATACTAAGTGACATATAAATCCGAACACAAAGTTTAAATGGTTTTATTTTAATACAAGTTGGTGAATGAATTTTTAGTACTGTAAATAGCAAGTGAAAAAGTTTTTATACTGTTTTTTTTTTATTCACTAACGCTCTAAAAATGAATATTTCAGCCGCAGTAAAGAATCAACGTTGGCGGATTTTGGTCCTTGACATCCTTTACGATCGGTTACGATGCCTAGAGTACGGAGACCTGTACGATTTCGTCAACTTAGTGAGTCTGATAGGGGCCGTATAGTGGGACTTCGGGAAGCTGCACTTTCTTTTCGGGCAATTGCAGTTAGAGTGCAAAGAAGTGTAGACGCTGTGATTAGGTGTTGTCAGGCATGGCTTCGAGAAGGCCGTACGCAAAGAGCAAGGGGCACTGGACGCCGCCGTAGAACAACAGACCGTGAAGATCGCCGCCTAAGATTATTGGCCTTAAGGGACCGTTTCTCCACTACCAGGTCCATTGCAAATGAATGGTTTGCAGAACACGGAAGACCTATTGGCATGCGAAGTGTTTACCGACGAACGAGAAGTTTTGGCTTGTTTTCATACCGGCCACACTGGGTCCTCCCTTTAACTCGAGAACACCGACGTAATCGCCTTGAGTGGTGCAGACAACGGTCACTCTGGGATCAGGAATGGAACAGTATTGTCTGTAGTGACGAGTCTCGATTTTTTTAGGCATGCACGATGGTCGTGCCAGGGTTAGAAGGCGACGTGGTGAAAGGAGGAATCCACAGTTTTTTGTTGAAAGACATGTTCATCACACTGTTGGAGTTATGGTTTGGGGTGCTATAGCTTATGGTTCCAGGTCACCTTTAATCTTCATCAGAGGTAACATGAACGCGCAGCGTTATATCCACGAAGTTCTAGAACCCCATCTTTTACCCTATCTTGACAGCCTGGCAGATCCAACTTTCCAACAAGATAATGCCCGACCACATGTTGCAAGAGTCACAATAGACTTCTTTCAACATAATGATGTGACATTGTTACCATGGCCACCAAGATCTCCCGACTTATCCCCAATTGAGCACGTGTGGGATATGATGGGTAGGAGATTGCTCAATTTGCAACGTCCTCCTC